GCAGCGCGTGGGGGGGCGCGAGACGCACCGCGGGCAGGGGGTCCGTGACCGGGCCGGGACTGTGACCCGCGGCCCCGCGTGTTCGGCGTCCCAGGCGGCTCTGCGCGGACCCGCGGAGAGGAGGGGCAGAGCAAAGAGCGGCGAGCGGCGAGCAGGGTAACCCGGCCGCGCGCGGACTCCTTACCGAAGCGCCGCCTGCCCCGCCCGCCTCCCTCAGGGCCGGAGCCCCGCCCGGTGACGTCACAACGGCGGCCCCGCCCGCTTGGGCCCCGAGGCGGCGCCGCTGGGTCTTAGCGCTGGGTCTTAGCACGCCTCGCGAAGGCGGGTGCGACGCCCCACCCAGCGCAGGGCGGGAGGAAAGGCGGTGACGCTGGGCCCTGCGCGCTCGGCCAGGGCTGGGAAATACCTCCTGGCCGCCTCCCTTCGGGCCAGGTGCCCCGTAGGTCCGTCAGCAGGCGCCCGGGCACGCGAGAGGCCGTGCAGACGCGGCTAGTGGCCACAAAAGCAAGGACTTAGACCCGGGATGGCTGGAGGGTACCCTGTCGCTGCAGCCAGCGCGGATCCTGGGACGCTACCCTCGCGGTGACCCAGCAGGCTCCCGAGCCCTGGGAGCGGAGAGACTCATCTCTAGGAAGCACACACCCACTCGCGCGCGTCTCCGTAACCAGAGCCAGTGACTTAGCACAGCTGCCCGCTGACCGTCATCGAGGTCGGCGCTTGGCAGACATATTGACTGACCACAGCTGGACTACACCTGGACTGGCATCGGCACTCCACAATTTGATGAGGCTGTTCTCCACCCGTCAGTTATGTGAGGTCAGTGATAGGGTGCACGTTTGCAGAGCAGAGGAATTACTGATAGTATCAGCTGACCTTGTGGACTCTGGCTGCTTGGGACTGCTGCAGTCAGAGGAGCCAGCAGCACAGAGGACAGCTACAAGCCCTCCCAAAGCCTCACCAACACCATCTCTGACTCTGGAGCAAGTGCCTTGAGGTAGGATCAACTATGTGCCCCAGAACCCACTTGCATCAGAGCTCTATCTAGACTGTGAATGGGACCTTATTTGGAAACAGGGTCTTGCAGATGTAATTACTGAAGTTAAAATGAAGTGATTGATTCGTGGTCCAATGCTAGGGTTATGGGTGTGAGTGCTACACCCGCCCTGGGGGTGGTAGCCTGCATGCAATATAAGGGAGGGAAAGAGGCTTGCTCTCTCTCCTCCCTTTTTGCCCTTGCTGCTTTTGCTGTTTTCCACCTCCATGAACTATAGCCCCCCGCCATGTGCCACCCAGTTGTGGAGCCAGCCATGTATGGAGTGAAACCTCCACAAACTGTGAGCTAAATAAACCTTTCCTTCCTTAATTCTGGGTGTCAGGTATTTTGTCTCAGCAATGAGAGAAATGTAACCAAGAGACTACCTAACTACAGCAGCCCAGAAAATTCCCTTAATCCTCTAATATCTATTCCTTGCCCCGTGGAGAGCAGCACCTCCCCTGGAGTTTCATCCTTGAGTTCTGACAAGCACCTCCAGGATAAAGTTTACAGGTAGCCAGCAGCAGCACCTGACTTGGTATGGAATGTGGGTCTTCAGGCCTGATGCCAGCCCTCCAGATTGGGGAACTGAGTTTGACTAGCATCACAGGTAATTCTGCAGTCCACACAAATTTGAGAAGCTCAGTCTCAAGAAACATTAGGGTTCTGTCTTACCCTATGAGTGGGGGAAATTTATGGCAGACAGGATATGAGTGATCATAAATGGGCAGAGATCAGGGAAGTCTGCAGCTTTCCTGATAAAGCAGTAAGTGCACTGCTTCCCGGTATATGCAGATTACATGCCCAAAAACCAGGTATTTATTTAATCAACAGCCAGACTTGTTACTGTGGAGTGGATAGGTGGTACATTCTGACACCTGCCAGCTAGAGGAAGGTTTGATCCCTGGAATCTCAAGCTGGCTGGGGGCCTGTGTTCTCAAAGTATGCGTGAATATCTTGGGGAATCACAAAATAGTTTGGGAAACACAGCTCCATGCAGACTATATATTTATAATTTTACCAAAGTGGGACATAATAGGCATGTATCCTGGACATCTTCCTATGTCGGTAATCTTGCTGGGTATGACAATCCCTTTTTACATGCAGTGGCTATGTAGGTTTTAGTTGTGAGGATGTTCTAGCACCTAAATGATCACCCCATGTTGGTGTACATTTAATTTACTTCTTACTTTTTTATCGTAAAGGGTACATACATAGAATAATAAGCAATGTACTCATACCACTCCTCTGATCCTTCTTAGGCAATAGCTCTCTGGTGTGAAATTGTGGGTGAGCACATGGGCAGAATGACAAACTGATCACAAAAGCCACACGCTTACCCTCTGTCCCTGATGCTTAGCTTGTCGAGTGCAGCCTCTCAGAGGCATGGCCAGTTTGAAGTGGCCCACAGTCTTGCCACTCAGACCCACCTGTGGGCAGTGAGCTGCTACTGATCTGAGATGCCACAAGGTAATGTAAAATTGTAAATAAAAATTATAGTTTATTTAATTTGCTTTAATATGTTATTTTAAATTTTATTATTAAATTTCATTGTAAAATTATAAACAAAACCCTAAAATTACACATACAGTGTACATTCATTGTACATACAGTTTATCATTCAATATAGTCTTGGATTTTTATATAGTTCATATATATATATTTGTTTATATATTTGTTTTGTCTCTTTTTGCAGTACCAGGTATTGAACTTGAGGCCATTGCACTGAGCTACCTTCCCAGACCTTTTCATTTTTTTATTTTGAAACAAGGTGTCATTAAATGGCTAAATTGTCCAGACGGGGCTTGATTCTCCTACCTTACCCTCCCAGTGTGTTGTGATTATGGATGACACCCAGTTTACTACCACTTTTATTATCTTTTAAAGAAATTACAGCCTTAACTCTGGGACCAAACATTTTACATAGTTACATTTTATATTTTCCTAATTTTACCTTACATTGTATCATCTTAGACCAAGAGCTCGCTGCTCCCTCCAGACCTGAGTGAGCCACCAGACTACTGGCACATTTTAAAATGTCCTGCCCAATTTATATAAGTTACACTTTACTTCTTATATGTATTCAAGAGTGGTATATGGTTCAATTTAAATATATTTGTTTCACACCCTAAACAAATTGCAATAGTACACAAAACTTTCTAAGGTTGAAAAATTGAAATCTTGGTCCTTTCCACTTGTGAAATTTAAATTAGTCCCCATTTTTTGCTCTCCCAAATCCTCTTTCATTCCAAAGCTTTAATGACTGCACATCAAAGCCTGGGGGCTTTAATACTAGGATCACCAAATGCCTGTCCTCCAAATGTTGAAAGTGTGGTGGGAGAAGCCCTCCTAGGAGGCCTAATGTTCAGCCAGATTTAAAGCCACTGTCTTTAATTCATACAATACCCAGTCCATCATTCAGGACTCCTCCTTCCTGGAAAAGACTGTACACCAAAACTGGGACTAAGATTGCACAAAGTATAGACATGAACATATTGTGACTATTTTAAAATGCGAAAAAGAAGCAAAAAGATGTGGGCTCAAATTTATATACCCAGATATTTACCAGCCCCAACATTTTCTTTAACAGATTTTTTTCAATGAGAAGTTTCAAAAATTTCCCCAATTTTGTGTTGCTGGAAAGAGCAGCGCAAAAAACTCCCTATTGGGGCTGGGGATATAGCTCAGTGGCATAAGCGCCTGCCCGGCAAGCGCAAGGTCCTGAGTTTGATTCCCGGTACCAGAAAAAATAAAAAACTCCCTATACCCAGCCTTTCTCCTCTACTGATCTCCTCAATTGCAAACACCACATCCATCATATTCAGAGACGCCTCAAGCTCTGACCCATCTCCTGGCCTCAATCTTTCAGACCCATCTCCCTACTTGGGATGACTGCCAGCACTTCCTTCTGACCCTCTTCAATACTGAAGAATGCCTGAGAAATACTCTCAGAGAGTCAAATTTATGAGAATGGTCTACAACAGGAGGGGCCAAAAATCCCATGCCTGGATGGAAACTGGGAAAGAGGAAATATATGAATGTGTATGTATGCAAAATAAAGTGCATGAGTCTAAGGTCATCTGGACTCAGCTGAGAAATGGAGGAAAAAGTGGTCTAATCAGTCTAAAAACAAAAGTAATTGAAAATTTATTTGCTGTAATGGACAAAGATATAAAAGAGCTGCTTAGGGCTGGGGATTTAGCTCACCCGCACAGCACCTGCCTGGCAAGTGCAGGGTCATGAGTTAGATTCCTATACTGGAAGAAAAAACAAAACAAAACAAAAAGAACTGCTTAACTTCAGTGCACCAGGATATACAGGTGGGATGGAACAGGCAGGCTAATAAAAAAAGGAAAAACAGAACACCTGAGGATCCAGCTGGCCCAATGGCTAGGCTGTAACAGAGATAGAAGGCCAAAAGACTTGGGCTCAGCTGTGCTGAGATTGGAGGAGGAAAACAGGGATTGCCTCTTCATTTCAAAGTGAGCAAGGAAACAAGACAGAGCCTAAACTCTCCTCCCAGCTTCAGGAGCCCCAAGGCCAGCCCTTGCTTGACATCAACAGCCTGGCACTTCCTGCAGGCATCTAAAAGCTGGAGCAACTCCAACCTGCAGTGAACGGCTAAAGTCCTGTTGAGCCTAAGGAAGTTTTACAGGAGAAATCAAATTAGAAATTTTAACTAATTGGTAAATACATTTTTGGTTTTCAGTTTGAGCTGATGTACATAAAACATTTCTTGTATTACAAAGTTTTGAATTTATGGGGTTAACTTGCTATTTTCTCTACTTTGTTTTCTTTTTTTTTGTATTTTTGAGACAAGGTCTCGCTATGCAGTTCAGGCTGGACTTGAGCTCACTTTGTAGCCCAGGCTGGCCTTGAACTCCAAACAATCCTCCTGACTCAGCCTCCTGAGTGCTGGGATCACAGGCGTGCGCCACCACGCCTAGCTATTTTCTCTACTTTGTTGTTTTAAAATAAGAGCACTGATTCAAGGTTACTCAGAGGTCTGTTGGCAGTCAGTCAAGTTTACTATCTGAGGGAAAAAAGGGACTTTAAAATTCAAGCAGCTACAGTCAGGTTTGTTGTAAAAGACTACAGTAAATGGGAGAAAGAATATTAAGAAGGCTATAAGTGTAAGAGACATAGTTTTGGTATGAAAGGATTCTGTATGGTGAAAGTCTTGTCCTGATAAAGAGAGAAAAAGACAGATAATGACAAGACTAAAAAGCATGTCTGTTGAGAAAAGCTTGTGAAAGTAGTTTATTAAAAAATATATGTATGGTCACTTGTTCACTTGATGGAGTTTTGGTTGTTCCTTCTAGAAACTTCAGTGAGAGAAATGGTCAAATCAACAGGAGATTAGTCAAATAATAGCCTTTAACACTTATGTGATGTATATGCTGTGTGTTACTTTATTCAATACTAAGATGGACATGTAAGTGTGTTAAAAAATAATGACATCATTATTGTCATGCTGAAATACTATGTGTGGCTTTGGTCTCAAGTTTTCTTTGTAAAACTATGTAACTGCTATCTGTTAACATTCTACAGGGATTCAACTATTAGGACAACCATAATTGATAAAAAAAAAAAAGTCTTTTGCTTTACTTTATTTTTCAAAGGGCTTTATGTATAGATAAAATTATAATAATTAAGCCCACAGCTGAAAGAGAGGTAATCAGATAGACTCTGCAGGAAACTTAGGTGTTCAAACAAATTAAAAGAGCCCTGGCCTCAGCTCCAGCTTTAGGAATTCCGGATGTGACTCACTCCTTCAACCTGTTTGATGAAAAACAACATGTTGCCTCAGGGGTCCTAACTCAAACGGTGAGACTCTGAGGGAGACCATTGCCTACTTGTCCAAGAATCGACTCAGTGTGAAAAGGATGGCCCCCCAGTTTGTGGGTGCTCACTGCTACATCTCTCCTGATCAAGGAAACAGACAAATTGACTCTGGGGTAAAACTTGGCTGTTTAGGTGTCGCATGCTGTTCTTGAGCTCCTCAACAGTCAGGGACACCATTGGCTCTCAAACAGCTGCGTCACCTGTAAAAGCCCCACCTCAGACATCAAAGGCTCTAGTTTAATCCCCAGTTCCCACCCCTGCCGTGGGGTTAGATCTTCATGTTTACCATTTCTGGAATGTGTGTTTGTAAACTGGTTGTAAACGCCCTGCCCTTTGTGGACTCCCAAAATGTATTGTTCTTCCCCTAAATGCTCTACCCCTCTCGGATTCTTGGACTTACTGTTCCTAAATCCCCTCATTGTTACAGATGTGACATGTGTTTACCAAACAGGGTGTGGTTTTAGGGTATAAAACCTGCTCTCATCCCTGGATCGGCACTGGTCTGATCCTTCCCTGCATGGAGGCTCTCAGTCAGACCCCGCCCAGTCAGACCCTGGCCAGGAATAAAGGCTCATCCTAAATTCCAATTGGCGGTCCGTGCGTCTTGGTGTTTGTCAGTCGGTACCATTTGGTTCATTTCTGGTTGCGAGTCCAGAACATCACCCAGTACCAAGAACTGCTTGTTGGAAACCCCTGACTAACTTTCCAGCCAGTAAAGGCTCTAAATCCAGCCACCTACCTGCCCACAGAGCTCAGACAACCAGACCATTGTTGGGAGCCACTGGAGCTGGTTATTGGTCAAGCAGTCAAGTTACCTGAGTATTGAAAAAAGGTATCCTGCCAGAAAATTACAGTCGTTAGTGGCTAGGCAACATTACCCCCCCATGATACTAACTTTGTAAGTGTATAAAATAAACGCCTGTACTGTTGAAGTCAGTCCTCCTGCTCATCAGGCAAGAGGTAACTCCACCTGACCCCAGCTCTTGTCTCTTGTCTATTTTTCTCATACCTACCGCTGTTTCTCTCTGGGGTACCAGAGACCAACAAGGTACACTACATACGGCACTTGAATTGGACACCCGGTGAGAGAAAATAAGTGGACAGTGGGTACGCTTCCCAAGAGCGTGCAACAGAGGTGGGGAAGCACATTTGTGAAAGCTAGTATTCGGCACTGGAGTGCACGGTACTGGCACATCATGTATAAAGCGTGGGGATGTATGTTCTGTAGGGCTAGAAGATACACAGCCTTCTAAGGAGCCAAAAAGGGAAAGGGATATTGAAGTGCAAGTAGAGGCTGTAGACTCCAAGGGTATATGTCGATGGAAGTGTTTGTTGCATGTTTAACTCCTATATTCAATTTTCTGGATGTTTGTTTGGAGGAGTTTTGTAACCATAAGGGATTTGACTCAGAACATTATGTTAAAATGTTAAAATCAAGTCCAGAGCCTAAGGGGGACATGGAGGGTGGAGAAAGGGCTCTGCCGATAGAGCCTGAGTCCTCTAGCCTGTTCCAATTTAAGAACGAAAGAGTGGTGGGGGAAAAAAGGGACTTTTCCCCACCAGAGAGGTGTTTTCCTGTGATCTCTATCTCACAACACTCCATGGAATTGACTGAGCCACAGGCGGCTATTCCGGCCTCTGCTGCTCAGAGAAATTTTGCTGCATCACAGGTTGGAACTTCCGCCTCTCAGAGAGTAGAGCCATTTTCTCTGTCTCCCTTGCAATTAGCATTAAAAGAAGCCAGCCGCACAGGGGAGCCCATGGAGAGTTTTCAACATATCCACCCTGTTACTGAAGTTCAAGTCCCTGAAAATCGAGGACAAGTCATACGTTGTTATGAAGCTATACCTTTTAAGACTTTAAAAGAATTAAAGCAAGCAGCTGCTACTTATGGTCCTACTGCTCCCTTTACCTTGAGTTTATTGGAAATTCTAGGACAACATTATGGCTCCAAATGATTGGAAACAAATAGCTAAAGCATGTTTAAGTCCAGGAGACTATCTGACCTGGAAAGGAAACTTCCTTGAGTATTGCACTGACCAGGCCTCTAGGAATGCTATTCACAACATAGCCATTACAAAAGATATGCTAATTGGGGAAGGTGCCTTTGCTACCACAAACAATCAACTGACCTTTGAATTGCCAGGATAGGAACAAACCAAGATAGCTGCCATGAGGGCTTGGAGGGAACTTCCTTCTAAGGGAGAGGCAGCCCTCAGTTTGGCTTCTGTTCATCAGGGTCCCGAGGAGCCTTTGCAAAATTTCATCACGCGCTTATTACAGGCTAGTGAGAGGATTATAAATAATACAGAAGCCAGCAAACTAATAGTTCAGCAGCTAGCCTTTGAAAATGCAAATAAATGGTGTAAAGAAGCTTTAAGAGCCCACAAAAGGTGGGCCACATTGCTGGATATGATTCAGATCTGTGTAGATACTGGCCCCTCATATGTACAGGGGGCTACTTTGGCAGCAGCTATTACTCAGGTTATTCATCCACAGCCTGGAGGAAAGGGTAAAAACAAGGTCATTTGTTTTCCTTGTGGAATTGAGGGACACCTTATCCGGAATAGCCCTGCTACACCTGTAAGGGCAGCACAGCCATTATCTGTGACTAAACCTTGCAGTCCTTGTTCTAAGTGTCAGCGAGGGTATCACTGGAATAATCAGTGTTGATCTAGAACGGCTGGGAAAAGACAGCTCTTTCTGGGAAACCCCCATTGGAGATTCCCACAGCCCCATCAAACAATGGGGACCGCCCAGATGGCTGCAATAGGGGATGAGGTGCTGGGCGAACGCAGGTACCTGGTGTGCGCTCTTTCCTATCTCTTGGCAGGACGCCAAGGGTTCCAGTGGTTGGCAGCTCGGTGGTGGGGAACACCCCCCTGCCTCCTTCTTCTCTGCCAGGCTCCTGTCGCACATGAGCCCAGGCTTTGGGCCTGGCCCCTGCAGGCCCAGCTGCCGTGATATGGGGGTGCAAGTGAACCAGCGATGTGATACATCAGTACAGTGCACACTCGGGCGGCAGAGGCCGCTGCACAGGGTCTGGGACCCAGGAGTCCCAGCTGCCCCCGCGTGCTTCCCGCGCTCCTTAGCTGCATGCTCCACCGTGAGTTCCCACTGCTTCATTGGCCGCCTGAAGATGGCCTCGGAGAGTAGGCAGGGCCCTGTGGCACCAGAGGAGAATGAGGGGGCAGCAAGGAACGCATCCCCACCCTCAAGGGCCTGGCAGGAGTGACAGGAGGCCCCAACTGGT